ACCTGGATACCGATTGGGTGAGTTGGTACGAGTGCATTGGCGAGTTGGTGAATGAGAGGGTACGCTGGGGGGTGAGTGAGCGAGTCGGTGAGCGAGCGAGTGGGCGATAGAGTGAGTGGGTGAGAGAGTGGGTGAGAGAGTGAGTGGGTGACCAGGAGAATGAGTGGATGGGCAGGTGAGAGATTTCACCTGGATAGCGATTCTGTGAGCTGGTGTGTGATTGAGTGCATTGGCGAGTCGGCGAGTGAGAGGATAGGCGGGCGTGTGATTGAATGGGTGAGTGTTGGCGTGGGGTGGAGAGGGCCCGGCCATGCGGGCGCTCACCGGTCCTGGATGTGGTACTGCATGTTGAGGTCGTTGATGACAAAGGGCCTGCGCAGCTTGCTGTACGCGACCGCCTTGTCCAGCGGGAAGCCTGCGGGACACGCGGCCGAAGCTCCGCGTCAGCCTGGCCGAAGGGCGCCGTCCTGCTCCGGGCGCGGCGCTCACCACGCAACCGCTCGTGTGCCGTACCGGCCTTCACAGGTGCTACTCGCCGAGAGCGCACGCCCCAACACTCTGCTGAGGCTATGCGGGGGATCTTTCAGTTGGTGCGTGCGCGTGCGTGGGTGTGGGTGCGTGGGTGTGGGTGCGTGGGTGTGGGTGCGTGGGTGTGGGTGCGTGGGTGCGTGCGTGGGTGTGGGTGCGTGCGTGGGTGTGGGTGCGTGCGTGGGTGTGGGTGCGTGCGTGGGTGTGGGCGCGTGGGTGTGGGTGCGTGCGTGGGTGTGGGTGCGTGCGTGGGTGTGGGTGCGTGGGTGTGGGTGCGTGGGTGCGTGCGTGGGTGTGGGTGCGTGCGTGGGTGTGGGTGCGTGCGTACCCTTAGAGTGGAAGGAGATGAGCACGTGGCAGGCCGGCCACTCGGCGACACGCGCGTGCAGGATCGTGTCCTCGGGGAAGATGCTCACGCTCAGGTAGGGGAACATGCGCAGGCGTGCCAGGATCTCCGCCATGGGCCGCGAGTGCGACTTCTTCGCCATGGCGCAGATCCCCACCACGATGAGCCGCTCCTCACGCTGCACGCACGCACAAAGACAAAGATCCCCCCGCTATAGCCCGTGACACACTGCTAGGGCAAGTGCTCCTCGCGTGTACCTATGAAGGCCGGCAAGGTGCACGAGAGGTTGGGTGGCCACCATCACGCCCAGCTGCCTTTGTCTCCCCAGTGGCGAGTCAACCTAGAGGAGGCCCAGGACCGGTTCAGATAATTGTTGCCCCACGTGTATAGTGCGACAGCGTGTGTAGCGCTCACCTCGTCGTGATCCTTGTCGCTATCGTCCGACGAGGAGTGCTCCGATCCCATTGGCCCCTCTCCATCGTCAAAGCCGCCCTCGTCCAGAGCCCCACGCCAGCCCAACATCGTCCACCTGTGTGTGTGCGTTGGACTTCTTTTGCGTCGTACATAGCCAACCGTGCTAATCGGGAGGTGCACCCGAGCCGCGCGAGGCAGCGCCACACACACACACGGTACAGGTGTGGCACAGTACAGGTGTGACACACACACACGGGACAGGTGTGACACACACACACACAGTACAGGTGTGGCACAGTACAGGTGTGACACGCACACACAGTACAGGTGTGACACACACACACAGTACAGGTGTGACACACACACAGTACAGGTGTGGCACAGTACAGGTGTGCCGGACCTAACTCGGCCTCATGGCTGTCACTGATACAGACACATAGAGACAAAGATACACAACAACCGCTATTCGCCACTAAGTGGCGGTGATGTCACCAATACGCTTGTGCCAGGCTATGTGCACCTTGAGGCCACGTGAAGTGTCGAACCCCCACTGGCAGGAGGTCACGAGGTAGACCCAGATGCCATGGGTCGACTGACTGAGATGACTGGCTGATGCACCGCCTGTGCCCCCTACTGTGCCAACTTGCTGTGCTTTAGCCACACGGCGCTCCGCTCGTTGTTGTGAGCGTCGCTCCTCCGCCCTCCGCTGTTGTTGGAGGGCGACTGTCTCCAACTGCCAAGCAGCGTCCTTCACGAGCCTCCACCACAGAGGCCGATCTTACCAATCATCGGCAAGTCCACTCAGCTCCACGTCCTCCTGTACCACATCACTCCATCTCTTCTCTAGCCCGTGCCGCGCCCGTTTAGCCCCCTCGATCCGGCCGAACAAAAGCTGTTTAGGCATGCGGTGGCTGGGCATGCGGGCTACATGACCCAGCCAACGCAGCCTTGCCTGCCGGAGGAGCTCACCGATGGGACTTTGTCCAGATCTTTCAAGGATTTGTGAGCTCCTCACACAATCCAGCCTGGTTAAACCCAGGATGGATCGTAGGCAGGCCAGCCTAAATGTTTCTAACCGGCGAAGATGTTCCATTAGGGGTGTCCACGTTTCACAAGCGTAGAGAAGGGAGGGAATGACCGTGGGCGAGAAGACCTGAAGCTTCGTGCGGAGCGACAGACCAGGGAGCTTCCACACAGCGTTACGCAACCGATGAAAAGATATTGCCGCTCGACTGATTCGGAGTGAGACCTCCGCTATTAAACCGGAGCCGGTCATGAGCACACTGCCCAGGTATGGGAAACTCTCCACTCTCTCCACAACTGCCCATGATGGTACAAAATACCCAGGCCGGTGCTTCGTTTTGGTAGGGCTGATGGTAAGGCCCCACCTCTTAGTGGCACACTCCAGTTTCAGCAGCAGCGCCTCCAACTCCTCCTCTGAGTGAGTCGCAATTACCAGGTCGTCGGCATACATAACGTAGTTGACCAATAGGGAGCCATCCCTTGACCGCACCCGGGCATCGATCAGCCTCCCATTGTATCTGTACCAGATGGAAATTCCTCCGGTACAGCTACTGAAGGTTTCACGAACTATGTGGTCGAAATAGATGTTGAATAATGTTGGAGCCAGAGGACATCCCTGTCGCACCCCAAGGTGTACAGGGAATGGCTCTGACTCCCGGCCACGTAGTTTTACCCGGGCCTGCTCACCATCATGAAGGTCCTTAATGATAGGGAGCAGCAGGTCAGGGACTCCGAAAGCACGAAGAACAACCCAGAGCCCAGGCCTACTGATGGTATCATAGGCCTTGACCAGGCCAATAAAGCAGAGATGTAGGTCTTGTTGGAATTCCCTACACCTCTGCTGTAGCAAACGGACAGAAAATATGGCATCTGCGCAGGACCGCCCTTTCCTGAAACCGCATTGGGGCTCCGCAAGCCTCTCAGCGTGCCTGGCAAGACGGTGTTGAATAATCCTTGCCAGGACCTTTCCCGGCACACTGAGGAGTGAGATGCCCCTGTCGTTGTTACAGTCTGTGCGGTCCCCCTTCTTAAAGAGGGGGACCACCAGGGCATCCTTCCAGTCCTGCGGAACCCTTCCAGTGGTCCAGACTGTTGTTATGATGTCATGTAGGGCAGTCTGTGCACAAACGCCACCGTCCCCTCAGCACAGTGACACAGACACACAGACACAGTGACACAGAGACACAGTGACACAGACACACAGAGACAAAGACACACAGTAACACAGACACACAGTGACACAGAGACACAGACACACAGTGACACAGTGACACAGACACACAGTGACACAGACACACAGTGACACAGACACACAGTGACACAGAGACACAGACACACAGTGACACAGTGACACAGACACACAGTGACACAGACACAGTGACACAGTGACACAGACACACAGTAACACAGGCACACACATAGACAAATATCCCCGTATAGCTTTGACAGACTTTTTGGGCAAGTGCTGGTCGCGTGTAGCAGGCCGCTGGCGTGGCACACGCGGTGGGTGGGTGGCCAGCAACCACGCCCGGCCGCCTTTGTATCTCCACTGCTAATGTTTAAACACCGCACGAGGTTCTAAATTAAGGCCGAGTCGACCTAGGGGAGGCCCAGGACCGGTTCAGATGTTCGCCACCGATATGGGCCGTGAGATAACCACCACGTCAGCGCTGCCCGGGGGGGGGGGGCCCTGTGCAAGACCCCCTCTGTGCAGGCAACCCAACTCCTGCACACAGAGACCCCTCTCACGCACAGGGGACCCCTCTCACGCACAGGGGACCCAAGTTGGCGGGGACTGCAGAGGCCCCTCTGCGCTGCAGTGCCCGCACCCCCGGGGGGGGTGGGGTGGGTGGGGTGGGTACCTCGATCCGTGGAAGCGCTGCCAAGCGGCACGGGGCTCCGCGGGACGCGGCGCCGGGACGTGGAAGGCGCCGCCAGCGAGCAGAAGCGGCCGCGGCGTGACGTCACAAATATGTTTTGGTCTCGACGGATGACGTCGGCCACGCGGTTTTCATAAACGGTCGATGACGTCACGCGTGACGTTCGCCGAACACGCGCGGGAAAAACTGCGGCGTGACGTCACGCCGCTCGTGCAACGTCCGCGGAGATGTAAACACGACGCGATGACGTCGTCGAACGTTCGGTTGGTGGAGAGGCGGGGGAGGTTGATGACGATTGCGATGACGCCATCGTAAAAACAAAGCCCGTCGCGCTGCCCTGGTGACGTCATCGCGAGCCAGGGTTTGACGAGCGGGACGATGACGTCATCGTCATAAACAACGGAGCGCGCCGCGTGACGTCACCCCGGGGCCTCGTTTCGTCGGCCGCGACTGCGGAAGCGGGAGACGGAGGCGGCGGCGGCCCCCCCACGCAATCCTCCTCCTCGCTCCAAGCGCTTCGGGCTCTTCACAGTCAGGCGCCAGGGCTCCAGGTAATCCACGCTGCAGGGCTCCGGGCTGCACGTAATCTACATTCTCGGGCTCCACGTAATCTACATTCTCGGGCTCCACGTAGTCAGGATCCAGGGTACTCTTAGGTTTTTTCGGGAAAGTCACGTAGGTGAAAGATAAATAATAAATAAAATAATAAATCACGACGTTTCGGAGGCAACACAAGTCTCCGTCATCAGGTGGGACCGTCACAGCTAAATTTACTGTCTCAAGAGGATCCAGGGTCAAGGTGCCAGGTCTCTTGGTACTCAGGGTTCCACGTATTCGCGTTTCAGGGCTCCAGAGTTGAGGAATGCAGATTGCATAGAGTCGGCTTGCAGGACAACAAGTTGTCAGGATTCAGCCTCCTGGTCCCAGGTTCTAGGGCTTCAGGTGACAGGGCTCCGGGTCCCCCATGTGCTGAGGGTGTTGGGATCGAGGGACTGTGTTCAGGGGTTGCAATCCAAGAATCCAAAGATCCAGGTTCCTGTGATCCAGGGCCCAGAGATCCAGGTTCCTGTGATCCAGGGCCTAGAGATCCAGGTTCCTGTGATCCAGGGCCCAGAGAGCCATGTTCCTGTGATCCAGGGCCCAGAGAGCCATGTTCCTGTGATCCAGGGCCCAGAGATCCTTGTTCCTGTGATCCAGGGCCCAGAGAGCCTTGTTCCTGTGATCCAGGGCCCAGAGATCCTTGTTCCTGTGATCCAGGGCTCAGAGATCCTTGTTCCTGTGATCCAGGGCTCAGAGATCCAGGTTCCTGTGATCCAGGGCCCAGAGATCCTTGTTCCTGTGATCCAGGGCTCAGAGATCCAGGTTCCTGTGATCCAGGGCCCAGAGATCCAGGTTCCTGTGATCCAGGGCTCAGAGATCCAGGTTCCTGTGATCCAGGGCTCAGAGATCCAGGTCCCTGTGATCCAGGGCCCAGAGATCCATGTTCCTGTGATACAGGGCTCAGAGATCCTTGTTCCTGTGATCCAAGGCCCAGAGATCCATGTTCCTGTGATCCAGGGCTCAGAGATCCTTGTTCCTGTGATCCAGGGCTCAGAGATCCAGGTTCCTGTGATCCAGGGCTCAGAGATCCTTGTTCCTGTCATCCAGGGCCCAGAGATCCTTGTTCCTATGATCCAGGGCTCAGAGATCCAGGTTCCTGTGATCCAGGGCTCAGAGATCCTTGTTCCTGTGATCCAGAGCCCAGAGATCCAGGTTCCTGTGATCCAGGGCCCAGAGATCCATGTTCCTGTGATCCAGGGCTCAGAGATCCTTGTTCCTGTGATCCAGGGCCCAGAGATCCAGGTTCCTGTGATCCAGGGCTCAGAGATCCTTGTTCCTGTCATCCAGGGCCCAGAGATCCTTGTTCCTATGATCCAGGGCTCAGAGATCCAGGTTCCTGTGATCCAGGGCTCAGAGATCCTTGTTCCTGTGATCCAGAGCCCAGAGATCCAGGTTCCTGTGATCCAGGGCCCAGAGATCCATGTTCCTGTGATCCAGGGCTCAGAGATCCTTGTTCCTGTGATCCAGGGCCCAGAGATCCAGGTTCCTGTGATCCAGGGCTCAGAGATCCATGTTCCAGGGATTCGCAGTCTCGGGATGCGAGTTTGATGGATTCAGGATCCGGGTATCGTCGGGATTGGGGTTTTAGGAACTCAAAATTCCTGGGGTTGAGTTTCCAGGATGCCAAAGCAGCCACATCTGTCCCTTCAAACAACAAACGAGATTTGACACATCCCACATCAGCCACACGTCCTTGTGGGCGAGCGTGCATTGCCTCGGCGACACTGGAGGAGGGCTGATGGGTGATAATGAGCATCTTGATGGCCATGCTTACGACGACGATGATTGACGATGCTGACGTTGATAGCGTTGCGCATAATGTGGATGATAAAGATGCTGCTGATGATGCTGATTTTACTTATTTTTACATTTAAAGAGGGCTATTAGTTCAAGGCGCTCTATGACATCGGTTTTAAAAGCAGTTACAAAAATCGAATGCTTTAGATGGCAAGAGCAGTGGCAAGGGCCGAGGAAGGAGTGACCGTAACAAGAAGAGGGCACGTGGGGTCACGGACGGGCTGTAGGGGAGGGACGGAGGGGAGGGAATGGGCTATAGAGAAGAGGGGAGGCTAAGGAGGGGGACTGCTTCATGTACAGGGGCAGTGCTGAGTCGACGTGCAGTGTTGAATCTATGGTGCAGTGCTGAGTGAGTATATGGTGATTGATGGTAATGCTTTTGTTGACGATGATGGTGATCATTCTCACGCTCGGCGTGCTGACGATGCTGCCTGTTCTGCTCACTCTCGCTGATGCTGCTGTCCACGCCACCTCCACTGTCCCCCGTGCCCTCCTCCCGTGTCCTCCGGCAGGCCCTCCCGCAGGCCCTCCGGCAGGCCCTTTGGCACGCAGGCCGCCATGACCCGCCTGTCCCGCTTTGCGCTGCGCGCGGCCTCCCTACTCGGCCTTTGGGCAGCTCTGCTGGTGGCGGGGCCGGCGCTGCCCGCGCCCGTGCGGGCCGTCCTGGTGCCCCTGCCGGCCTACGCGCTGGTGCTGCTCGGCTGCTACTCGCTGGCGTCCGTGGGGATCGGCTTGGCAACGTTCGGCGACTGCCCCGACGCGGCCAAGGAGCTGGCGACGCAGATCGGGGAAGCGCGCCGGGACCTCGCCTCCAAGGGCTTCTCCCCCTAGGGGTGAGGTGGGGGGGGAGGGAGGAGGCCCCCCATAACCCACTACGTCTTTGCGAGAGCCCGCCGAGCCGCAGTGGTGTTCGATGTCGGATGGCGCGGGTAGTGGACGCTGTCTGGAATATTGACTCTTTACGTGAATGATGGAAAAGAAACCTGTCGCTGGAGGTACTGGTGTAAGAGAGACATTGGTGTAAGAGCTATGCTGGTGTAAATTTCCAAGTGTATTTTTTAAAGCAAAATATACCCCAAGAGACCACGGTCAGTCTCATTTGCAAGAGTGACCTGGGTCACCAATAGCAAAAGTAAAAACGTAAACTTAAGTGCTGTACAACTATTAAACAAATAGGATTCAGATCAAAATAAGAAAATAGCAGAGCAGAGATTACCGCATTGAAGTTACATTGGACACGGTGCACAAACATCAACCGGTATTGAATAAAATAAACTTGCAAAAAATGTTTGCTCGGACAAATTATTCAGAGATATTAAGTTACAGACATTGAAGTGGATTCAGGGTAATACACCAGTAGAGTAACAGACCGGTGGAATGCGGACACCCCGTGATGGACACCCCGTCACTTACACCCCGTGACGTACACCCCGTGACGCACACCCCGTCACGGACACCCCGTGTGACGGACACCCCGTGACGTACACCCCGTGACGCACACCCCGTCACGGACACCCCGTGTGACGGACACCCCGTGACGCACACCCCGTGACGCACACCCCGTGACGGACACCCCGTTACTTACACCCCGTGACGCACACCCCGTGACGGACACCCTGTCACAGACACCCCGTGACGGACACCCCGTTACTTACACCCCGTCACTTACACCCCGTGACGCACACCCCGTGACGGACACCCTGTCACAGACACCCCGTGACGGACACCCCGTTACTTACACCCCGTCACTTACACCCCGTGACGCACACCCCGTGACGGACACCCCGTGTGACGGACACCCCGTGTGACGGACACCCCGTGACGCACACCCCATGACGGACACCCCGTGACGGACACCCCGTGACGGACACCCCGTGACGGACACCCCGTGTTATGGACACCCCGTGACGGACACGCCGTGACGGACACCCCGTCACTTACACCCCGTAACGGACACCCCGTGTGACGTACACCCCGTGACGGACACCCCGTATGATGTACCCCCCCTGACGGACACCCCGTGACGGACACCCCGTGATGGACACCCCGTGATGGACACCCCGTGACGGACACCCCGTGTGATGGACACCCCGTGATGGACACCCCGTGATGGACACCCCGTGACGGACACCCCATGACAAGACACCAGCGTGACGGAGACACTGAAACAGGCATCGACGAGATTGGAGACGGGAATGATCGTGGTGACATGGCGCTCAGGTAGCGTTTTTGCAGAGATTCGCAAATTAAAACTGACAGGCTGCCCTGGTAAATACTGCCGTGTGTATCGTACAATACTACTGTGCGGCGCCGTCTGCTTTGCCCACAGTTGACGTTAACGGTCCCGTGACACCACTTGCAAGAGCAGGAGGCCATTGCGTGCCAGCATCAAGCTCCATATCTCAGAATCTACAAATGTATTTAGGAGGAGGAATCCCATGGTTCTCCTTTTCACAGATGTCCAGGAGCGGCACGGGGGTCAGCGAGTTACATCACCAAACAATACAAAAGACGATATGAATGCAAGTTGCAAACAAATATAAAGTATAGAAGTAAAAATTGAAAAAGTACATAAATTCCTGCCGATTTTTCAACAACAAATGCAACCTTGGGACAAGGCAGCAAAGTAACAAGAGTCCCAGACCACAGCAAGACAACAACGACAACAGCCTCGGAGCACACTAGGACAACAACACAGTCTGGCATATCTGAATCATTACCGCAAATTGTTTAATTGGGGGAAAAAAACATAGCAATCACCCCCCACTGCAAGAACGCGTCACGGGAGTTTCCGTATACAAGTCTGCTGAGCGTGCGAGCGGAATCGTTCGACTCCTACGATGGCAGTAGCAATGTGGTGTTGATGTTCTCGATGCCAATGTGGAGGTGCTGCTGCTGTTGCTGGCCACAACGAGAGGGCTTCAACAGAGAGAGAGAGGTCGCGTCGTGTCGCTGTTCCTCCGCTGCAGAAGCGCCGGCTGCAGTGGCGTTTACTCTGCGGCCCACATAGTAATAATAATAATTACAACGGTGACACCGGCGTGATGGAGATGGTGGTGGCGGCATATTGGAAATAGTGATATGCTATAAATGAACGATGCTCCCTGTATGAAATAAAAGTTGCGTCGAGTGTTGTGGGCTCAGGTTTGTGAACTCGCCCCAGGCGGGGAAGTGGTGCACGTTGGATGTCGCGCAAACTCCACGTGGTTTTGCGTTCAGCCACAAGCGGCTCCGTGAAGGCTCGCAGCGATGAGTGTACACCGTCGCCTGTCTGGAGTAGTCTGCAGTGTCTATGAAACCAGGTGTGTCGTCCCACAAGATCCTGTGGCTGGTGGGATGTATAACAGAAAAGTTTGATGTGGAGAGACACCTTAAGGAAGCAATTTACTTATTAATTTAATATCCTCCACAGCGACGCACGTGATTATGTTGTGTTGTGCACTATGCAGTGTCGTGCTGAACGAAGACCCAACGTTGATTCAAGCAAGGCTGACTGCTTATGAGGCACTGAATATTAAAACCACTTGCAGGGTATAGCACTCTACGAGTTGCAAAACGCTACTAAAACGCTCCACTCCCAAAAGAAACGCAGTGCGGCTGATGGGATGTGTGTGGATCGGTGGTGTAGTTGGTTATTGCGCTGCATAACGAACCCGGCGACCCAAGTTCGATTCCCGCTCACGGCCAACACGAATCTCTGGGCCTCACCTAGGTCGACTCAGCCTCAAATAAGTACCAGCCTCGAATGAGTGCCTCGTACACAAATGAGTAGCTTGTAGTCATTTGTGCGGCGTTTAAACATCGCGATATGGCGAGCGGTCCTGGCACATCTCCGAGCGTGTGCCCTGTCGGCCTCCATCGGCTGCTGGCTAACAGCGCCTGCCGCCCAAGTCAGGACGACACGGGGGTCTTTGAGTCACAAAAATAATACAGACGTCAGTGCCGGACTACCCTAGTCGCACAAGTAGCTACACATGCAGCAGCTACGGACCCGCACTTTCAAGGGCCCCCGCGCTAAATGCTTTAAATATCTCAATTCCGGTTCAGTGATTCTGCACTTGCTCTATTGCTATAGTACTATACTGCCTTCAACTTTTATGAACGACTGGGTGTTTAAGGTGAGCGATTTGTCGTATTATCTGGCCGTATAGCAAATGAAAAAATAAAATTACTTTAATATGCAAGTTAAAATTGTGTTTTAATATAAAGTTTTTTTTTTATTTAAGGCCCCTCTTTAACACATGCTACAGGCCTCGCACTAGCTTGATCCGGCACTGAAATGCGTGTACAATTGTTGCGCGGAATCGAGGAGAGGGGGGGGCGAATTTGGTCGGCTCGCTGCAGACAACGCGCAGCGAGAGCGTCTGGACCAAGTTGATTCAGCGGCCAGAGGCGAGACGCAGCAGCAGCAGCAGCCGCAGGGCGAGGCAGGGCGCCGGGTGGCGCGGCACGGGCACGGGTTGGGGTTGGGTGGGTCAATAGCGGGGGAGGCAGCCCCGCCCCACCCCCCCCGAGGGTGGGGGGTGCTGTGCAGTGAACGGGCATCCCCCATCCGTGTCTCACCCCCCCCAGCCCCCCGTGTCTCACCCCCCCCAGCCCCCCGTGTCTCACCCCTCCCAGCCCCCCGTGTCTCACCACCAGAACCCCCCCCCCCGCCCCGCGTCTCGCTCCCATCCGTGTCTCGCCAAGACTCCAAGACCGACGCTGACAAAGTGCGGGGGACTCGGTTTATGGCCGAGTCAACCTAGCAGGAGGACGAGGAGGACCAAAAAAACCCGCCTCGCAGTACCACTCGCCACTGATGCGAGCCGTGACACGCGCACAGAGACACTCCCACAGAGAAAACCCCAACACGTACCCCTGAATAACAAGATGAATCAGATACACCATGCGTCTCCTTCCGGGACGTGTCCCTCCACCTACACAACCCAAGGTCTGTTTGACACATCCCATCAGCCGCACGGCCTTCCCGCAGAGCAGGTGTCGGCAGCATTGGTTCAACACAAGCGGCACTCGAGGCCAGTTTCGACGTTTAGTGTCTCATCAGCAGAGTCGGACTCGCTTGATAACCAATTCCGGATGATGGGATGTGTTACAAAAAAAGTATTAACACCGATATGTGTACGTGGAGGAGGCTGATTGGTTAGTTTTCTGGCTTACACGGTGCCTGTAACAAACTCACACCACGCACAGTGCACAACCACTACACACCACGCACACTCACTACACACCACGCACACTCACTACACACCACGCACACTTACTACACACCACACACAGTACACACTCACTACACACCACACACAGTGCACACCACGCACACTCACTACACACCACGCACAGTGCACACTCACTACACACCACGCACAGTGCACACTCACTACACACCACACAGTGCACACTCACTACACACCACGCACAGTGCACACTCACTACACACCACGCACACTCACTACACACCACACACAGTACACACTCACTACACACCACACACAGTACACACTCACTACACACCACGCACACTCACTACACACCACGCACAGTGCACACTCACTACACACCACACACAGTACACACTCACTACACACCACGCACAGTGCACACCACGCACACTCACTACACACCACACAGTGCACACTCACTACACACCACGCACAGTGCACACTCACTACACACCACGCACACTCACTACACACCACACACAGTACACACTCACTACACACCACACACAGTGCACACCACGCACACTCACTACACACCACGCACAGTGCACACTCACTACACACCACGCACAGTGCACACCACGCACACTCACTACACACCACGCACAGTGCACACTCACTACACACCACGCACAGTGCACACTCACTACACACCACGCACAGTGCACACCACGCACACTCACTACACACCACGCACAGTGCACACTCACTACACACCACGCACAGTACACACTCACTACACACCACGCACAGTGCACACCACGCACACTCACTACACACCACGCACAGTGCACACTCACTACACACCACGCACAGTGCACACCACGCACACTCACTACACACCACGCACAGTGCACACTCACTACACACCACGCACAGTACACACTCACTACACACCACGCACACTCACTACACACCACACACACTCACTACACACCACGCAGAGTGCACACTCACTACACACCACGCACAGTGCACACTCACTACACACCACGCACAGTGCACACTCACTACACACCACGCACACTCACTACACACCACACACACTCACTACACACCACACACACTCACTACACACCACACACCATGCACACTCACTACACACCACACACACTCACTACACACCACGCAGAGTGCACACCACGCACACTCACTACACACCACGCACAGTGCACACTCACTACACACCACGCACAGTGCACACTCACTACACACCACGCACAGTACACACTCACTACACACCACGCACACTCACTACACACCACACACACTCACTACACACCACACACAGTGCACACTCACTACACACCACGCACAGTGCACACTCACTACACACCACGCACAGTACACACTCACTACACACCACGCACACTCACTACACACCACACACACTCACTACACACCACACACAGTGCACACTCACTACACACCACACA